TCATTAATATCGTAAGATTCATAACAATTAAACACATTTTAATTTTTTCACAATTTACTACATTAAGTTTCTCTCCAACAACGTACCACTAATTACTCACAATTCCATTCCATCAAAAATTGAATTTCCTATTTCACCCAATATTTGTTTCAATCGAATTAATTTATCTTTATAGTCTGATCAATAGGAGTAATTCAAAAAAAAATGATGAGATCTTGACTCTTGATCTTGTTCATAAAGTAAATTATGATCCACACTATTAATTCTCTATTTCACCCTTTAATAGTCCATACTTTTCACAAATTCCAACAATAAGTGTGAAAAAATCTGACCCACTAAATTCATGAGTATTAAATGTCCCCTTCTATAAAATTTGACTCGATCCATTCCACATTACATGTTTTTATCTTCTAAAGGTGGAGTTCTCTCCTATGGTTGTCTCTTGATGTTACATAATTATATTTTTGAACATGATCTTCATTTCTAAGAAAAACCATGCTAAGTTCTTATTTTGTTATTCTCTAATTTACAGGAACTAAATGTTATCAAAAATCTTAATGCTTTCTCCATATGAGCCCAAAATCATGGCCAGTTCATTCAATATGGAATTGGTCTATTTATCACTCATATAAGCTTAAAATAATACATTTTAACTTTTTTAAATCAAGATATCAATCAGCTCCTTAAAAAATCATTATTTCTTAATCTGATGATAAAACATAATTACTTCTTACATCAAAAGTCCTTTGAATCATCTTGAAATTATTAGAAACTGTCTTCTTATCAATGTTATTGATTATACTCAAGTTCTCACAACTTATTATATTCCCGATGAATATTTAAAAACCTGTTATTGGATATATGCACAAAATGTCTCAATTCTTATTCCAAAGAACTCAATGGATGCATCTCATAAACACCAAATGTCGAATTTACTCTAAACCTGTTATTGAAATCATTAATAATCTATACATTAATAATGGGACATGTTTCACTTATGTTCGAGGAAACGCCTATATGATTACAAGTGCCATTATCGCAAAAGCTCTAGGAATTTTTAATGATAGTTTGTATGCTTATCAATGAGCAGCCATCATGAATTATATTCCATTAAATGTGCATACCTTGACATGTCATGTGCATTTCTGAATTGACAAAGATGCCTATGTAATATCTTCCAAAAATCTTATTCATCACCCAACATGCAAGGAAGACTGATCATAGCTAATCACTTTATTTTACTTGATGTTAAATTATCAATTTTTTTGATCTAATCCTTGAATGCATTCCTAGCTCAACACCTTCAATCCCTCAAATTATGGTTGTTACTCGCCTCCCAATATTATCTATCTGATATTTGTTGAGAAAAAATTACCTAAACTAACCTTATCTAATTATAATTATTAGATCCTAAAATCTTCTTATGATTTATCTGATCATTGGATCCCTTTTAGGATGGTTATTATAAGCCCTTAACTTTGAGGCTACTAGTCTTATTAGTCTTCTCTTTTTCTGTGTTGATATAAATAAGGAGAAATAATATATGTCATGCTGTGAAAAAGCTATTAGCTTGAATGCTGCACTTGGATCAAGGAGGAGATGTGGAATGAAATCAATTTCTAACTCTTTTTTTGGTCCACTTTATTCCACTCTCAACATTCTTCTGCTAGACATACTGCCAAGAATTTTTAGGATTTTAAATCTACAACACTCAAGAATTTTGTAGTTCAACCCCTATCTACATTCAATCCCCAAGAATAGTTTTTATTTTTACATTCCACTAAGACCAAAAAGTTCTAAATCACAACTACTGATTATTGAGTGTAGCTCTCTTAAAATTTTACCCCTATCTATTTCTTTATAGACTCATGGTTTTAGGTGGCCAATAATTGATAAATGGGTTCAGCTCTCTCAAGTTATTAACATCTATTAATCAAAATTTTATCTCAAAAGAATAAGAAGGATTTCACTATGGGATAGTTGACTTTGAGTAGTTCTAAAATCCTGTTAAATAGGAAGATATTTGATACTTGAATTTTTATTGTCATCTTCTCATAATGATGCTAGCAAAAGATAAATAGCATTTTAATTGAGCTAGTCGAGGAGAAATTTTGAATGCTTTAGAACAACTCCTTGAGTCATTGCTTTCATAAAGTTTGACCAACAATGAAGACCTCTCGATTTTGAACAAGATTTTCTACAAGTAAGACTCAATAAAGAGTTTGAGATTATAATAGTCATTGGGAAGATAATATTTACACATAACTCTCTTCATACTTTAATTTGATCCATAATACCTTACAAACTATCTAATACTTATTGGTTTTTGAGCTTTTTAAGTCGGTGGCCTTTGATTGAAGCTCAATTGTGCTGAGCCTTTGGGTAAACAAGCTTCTATTTTTCTACGTCTCTCTCTCTCTCTCTCTCTCTCTCTCTCTCTCTCTCTCTCTCTCTCTCTCGTGTACAACGACTAATCAAAAACAAAACGTGGGCCAATATTGGCAAAGGCCTGAAATGTCCCTTTTTGCGACGGTCGTTGATATTTGATTCCACTCTAGGGGTTTTATTGTAATGTGTAAAATTATAAAGGCTTTTATGTAAATCATAGATTATGGTTATTTGACTTTCCCGATCACATATGTGCTTCTCTCTCTCTCTCTCTCTCTCTCTCTCTAGGTATTTAGATATGCAAGTTATAAATGTTTTTATAAAATTGTAAAATAATATGGGGTTTAATTAAAAATACCATGGCAATACCGCCGCCGTTTTGCATGACAGCTGCTCTACGTCTCTCGACGTGGAGCGCCCCGACTCAGTCGTTCACCAAGCGTATCGATCTCAGCCATTGTCAAGGGGCCACGTAGGTGGACTAGGATAGATATTAAATCGGGACGGAAATATCCACGTAGATGGTGTCAGGACGATGAGGCTCTCCATCCTCCACGTACCCCAGCTCCTCTCTCTCGGTGACCTCTATACAGGGAGGTCGGTCACAGTATCTGACAGAAGGGACCTTGAGGGAGGAGCTCTAGCCTCGCCGTCGAGAGGAGAGGAAGGGTAGAACAGAGTAATCCTCTCCCTCCTTTCTCCCTCCCCTCCCCTCCCCTCTCCTCTCCTGGGGTCTACTAGGGTCCCATTTTCGTCTCCTGCCAGGTAATTTCACTGCTCTCGCCGCTTCCGACTCGCTGTCATCAGCTCGCTTGCTCGATCTGTTTTAGGGCTTCTTCGGCCGCACGCTTCCATCGCAGGTGATGCTATTAACGTCTGGCTCTGTTTTTGCTTCGTCTGGGGTTGTTTACGATCTACGCTTTGGTTGAGGAATTTGGAAGCCGCTTTCCCAGCTGATGCTCTTCCTCTTTCTGTCAATGCCCCTCGTCATATACAAATGTATAAACACCTGCATAGATGCATTTGTATGCATTTGTGCATATGCATATAAATATGTATCCGTAGATGCTCACGCATCAATAGGTAGCCTAACTTTTCCGACTGTTTTTTTTTAACTTTTAATGTTGGCTCAAACGAAACGTTTTTTGTTGCTTTTCCGGGCAGAAGTTTGCTCGAAAGAGCTCGGAATTTACGAATCGAACATTGATGACGAAATTGAATATAGATAGCTGGGTTTAATAGAGTTGGAGCTTCGAATGTGATCCAGTATTTATGCCTTCCGACTTGTCTTCAATAATTGTGGGGTTATCTTCTATGCATTCGATTCAGTGGTTCATCATGGTATGGTCCTCATGAAAACCTCAGACAAATTTTGCCCTCCCATATTGGTTCATGGAATGAAAGTCATGTTTCCTTCTAAAATATGCACGTCCCCTTCTTAGGAGTTTTAAATGTGTGAGACTCATTTAAGTCGTGCTATTGATTGGGGATATTTTGTCTTCACACGAAAATCATTTTTTTCTAATGATTTTCCCTCTTTCAGTTCATAGAAGAAGCTAGAGGATTAGGCCTTGAAAGTTTTGCATACTCATTTTTGCTCCCAAAAGCTACGCAGTATGTTCTAGTCTTCTTTCTTTACCTACTACCAAAGAATTTTGCTTTCGAATTTCGTGGACTAGATATTGAACTTCGTTCACCTGTGTTTGTAATACCTGAAAATTGATTATCGTGACTGTCATTATAGTATTGCTAATCCTCCTGAGCATCGCGTTTTTTCTGTGAAAGAATCCCAGAGAAGATAAGTGCATATTTTTCTCATTCAAGCCACTTTTGTTTATTTTTAGGATTAGTAATGGTGATTTTTAAGAAAAATTCAAAATTTCTTGTTCTTTCTGCAAGTTCTTTGTTAATTTGGAGCACCCATTGGCTTGTAGAGTCTTTTATTAAGGCTCGTCCACTTTTTATTAATACATTGTACGGATTATTATTTGGGTTTGGATTGCATGTTTCTTCTCAGTGTCTTCAGTTTTCTCTTGCTGCCTTTACCATCTATTTGGGAATTATGGTGATCTTCATTTGGGAATTATAGTGATCTTCTGGTACCATCTATTTTCAAGAAATATCAGCTTATAATAAATCAGTGGACCCCATATTAATGGATTACACTCTCTCATCTTACAATGAGAACCAAATGGGGAAGAATCTATAGTTTTTCTCAAAATAGAGAGAAAGTTTTTTTTATATGCCTGTATAATTTTTCTTTTTCGTTGTTTCTTTCAGTTGTATTGTTGCCATAATGACTCTATTCAATGCATTTTCTCAAGCATCTTAATTTTTTTAAAGTTCCAATCACTATTTTCGAAGCTACTTGTCATGCTTTTGCCTTATTATCTCACCGTCGGATACTTAATGTTTTTTCTTCTTTAAGCCCACCATTAACTAGCTTACAACTTCTCTTACAAATTTTGAGTTCGCCTGGGAATCTATGATATCTTTTAGGGCGTATTTTATGCTCCTTTAAGTTTGTTTTATTATAACTAACATGCTATTATCCTCCGTTTGTAGGGCATCGTATATATAGCTCGTGGAGATCTCAATTCCGAGTAGATACCATGGCTGGGACTCTAGTGCAGTCTGCTATTCTAACAAGATCAACTGTGAATGAAAGACCTAGACAGATTCGTAGCTCTGGAAAGCTCAGAAAATCTCCCAGAATGTTGTGCACAAATGTAGCCCGCCCTGTCAGAATCCGAGGATTCTCAGGATTGCGGAGTTGTAATTCTTTGGACTTTGTGTCGCAATCTGACCGTAGTCTTCATTCAGTGGTAGCATCATATATTTCTGCACCACAGGGGAAGCCCTGTCGTGCAGTTGCTGTTGCCATGTTTGAGCGCTTTACAGAGAAGGCCATCAAAGTTATTATGCTTGCTCAAGAGGAAGCAAGGAGACTTGGACACAACTTTGTTGGTACCGAGCAGATTCTGTTGGGTCTTATTGGAGAGGGAACAGGAATTGCTGCTAAAGTTCTGAAATCCATGGGAATCAACCTGAAAGATGCCCGTGTGGAAGTGGAAAAAATTATTGGAAGGGGCAGTGGATTTGTTGCTGTTGAGATACCATTTACACCTCGTGCAAAACGAGTGTTGGAGCTATCATTAGAAGAAGCCCGCCAACTTGGTACGCTCTTTTAAGCACCTGTTGTGTGATTTTGTTTGTCGAAACACTTTGTTAATGCAACCCATTTTTTTCCAAGATATAACTTGCGTGAGAATGGATCTTCGTTCTTGAAGGTTTTTTTTCCTAATTAGAATTGAAGAGGAATCGGGTCGAAATTACTGAATAAAGGGATTCTCATAAACCATTCATTTCTGAGACAAATTGCAGCCGACAGTATAAATAAGTTTTACTTCTTTATCAATTAGGAATGTCATGGTATATTTTGAGAAATAGGGTTCTGGAAATTACTCATGACAAAGTTTTCGGATCTCTTAGGCATCCTGTGTTTGGCATATATAGCAAAGTTTTCTTTCTGGTTACACTCATCAGTTTTATATCTCATCATGCCCTTGATTTTCTTCCCTTTAAGGAGCCATAGTTGTGCTTTTTGCAGCATTTGTTCACCATGGTAGATGGCTTTGATGAGCTACCCATGATAAGGACGGCAAGTGTTTTACAATGGGTGTCAATGGTTTATAGAAATCCAACCTTGAAACCTGTCGAGTTTTCCAGGTCATAACTACATTGGATCTGAGCATTTGCTCCTTGGACTGCTGCGTGAGGGTGAAGGCGTGGCTGCCCGTGTGCTTGAGAGCCTTGGGGCTGATCCAAGCAACATTCGTACTCAGGCAAGTTCTATATCCAAGCAACATCTTGATCCGCAATGCATTGCATTCACCATATCTAATATAGAAATAATGTGCAACAGGTTATTAGGATGGTAGGGGAAAGTGCAGAAACTGTTGGCGCGGGAGTTGGAGGAGGAAACAGCGCCAATAAGATGCCCACGCTCGAGGAGTATGGTACCAATTTAACAAAATTAGCTGAGGAGGTCTGGCACATTTTCAATCTGTGACTTTTTCGTTAAAGCCGACTAGCTCTGCCAGGTTGGGCAATTGAGTGACTGACTTTGTTCTTCCTTTTCAGGGAAAATTAGATCCTGTCGTTGGAAGGCAGACTCAAATAGAACGCGTGACTCAAATCTTAGGTAGGCGGACAAAGAATAACCCCTGCCTTATCGGAGAACCTGGTGTTGGAAAGACAGCCATTGCCGAAGGGCTTGCTCAGCGTATTGCTACTGGGGATGTTCCTGAAACAATTGAAGGAAAGAAGGTTCGATATTTGAAAACTTTTCTCTCGGTTTTTGCAACATCAAAACTTATTTTGATTCGCATGCAGGTGATCACTCTAGACATGGGACTTCTGGTTGCTGGTACTAAATATCGTGGAGAGTTTGAGGAAAGGTTAAAGAAGCTGATGGAGGAAATCAAACAGAGTAATGAAATAATCCTTTTTATTGACGAAGTACACACGTTAATAGGAGCTGGAGCAGCTGAAGGTGCAATAGATGCAGCGAACATCTTAAAACCTGCTCTCGCCAGAGGTGAACTTCAGGTGATTTGAATTCACTCGATGCTTATTCTTAATTCGTCCTATTTGTAGGTGTAAACCATTGTTTAATTTTATATACTTTTGGCTCCATCCTGGCCTGACAGTTTCGCGTAAACAACTTTGATAAATATGGAAATCATCCAGAAGATTGTATGTCTAGATGATCAGATTCTTGGGTAATTCCCATTAATATGTTCTGTAAATAGTTCAGAAACGTTTAACATAGCCCCTGTCCATTTGCGTACATGCTAACTTTCTCTATAAAAAAAAAAGGCCCTACAAATGAAATTTTTAATTCTGCATCAGGCTAGTCCCTATGTTTTAGTTATACCATGTTCTCCAGTTCCCAGTGCTCCTTGATGAGATGCTTCTGCAGCAGCTATTCCCACGACTCTAACGTTCACAATGTTACTGTGGTATGCCTGTCACGTATCCTCTCTTTCACTTGTGACTTGAATTTTCATTTAGTTTCCTCTTTGAGTGCCCATTACGAGGATGATATGTTTGGTGGAAATTGTTGTTTTGGCCCTCTTGAATTCCTCCTTTGCATTCATTTCTTCACATTTCTTCACATTTTCCTTCGTTTAGTGCATTGGAGCGACCACTCTTGACGAATATCGGAAACACATAGAGAAGGATCCAGCTCTAGAAAGAAGGTTCCAGCCAGTAAAGGTGCCAGAACCGACGGTTGATGAGACGATACTTATTCTGAGGGGTCTGCGTGAACGATATGAAATCCACCACAAACTTCGTTACACTGATGAAGCTTTAGTTGCTGCTGCACAGTTGTCACATCAATATATCAGGTTGGTCTCCTGGACGACCTGCCCCTCAAATTCCTTTTTAGTCTTTTTCTTTTATATCTGGGATACCACGTTTTTATTGATTCTCCCATTGGAAAGGAAGATGTTGTGGATTAATTTCGAGCAAAATAAAAAAATTGGTGACGATAAAATTAAAAAAAAAGCATTAGCTCGCCGAATCCTTGGAAATATTTCATTACACCAGGATTAGTGAAATATTCCGCTCACTTTTTCCATGGTTTCTGGTCCACAGGATTATCAAAATATGAAAATAATGAGGTCTGCCTATCTTGGAGGGTTGGCCATGGCACCGTTAGTTGCGTTGTAACATAGAAAATATGTAATTAGAGAGAGAGGAATAGCTAAATAGAAGAGTATATGGAAAATTGGAATGATTAACTTTTTTAACCCTAGGATTCTCTTGATTAAAAGTTCGTGTCCTTTAAATAATCGTAATGGTTCTTGCTCCTTATAATGAATTTCCATGAACAGAAAGCCAAATGAGCTCTGCTCTTTGTTTTTTGTCGGAAAATGTGGGATGGTTTCTGTCATGATGTGTCAAACCTCCGGCTCTCATCTTCTAATTACCTCTATATTGCTTGATTAAGTACCCCACTGTTATTGACGATTGGTTATGTACATGTTTTTTCATATATCAGAAGAAATTAAAGAACACAATATACTTTCCTTCCTAACGAACACAACTCCCTGGTTTCAGCGATCGGTTCCTCCCGGACAAGGCAATAGACTTGATTGATGAAGCTGGTTCTCGTGTCAGGCTCCGCCATGCTCAGGTGCCCACTCTCAATCCAGCTTTCCTCTATATCTCCATCCCGACTGCAAATGCCCTTTGAATGAACCCACAGCCATTCAATCGCAGCTCCCTGAGGAGGCCCGGGAACTCGACAAAGAGCTCAGGCAGATCACCAAGGAGAAGAACGAGGCCGTCCGTGGTCAGGACTTCGAAAAGGTCTCCTCTTTGGGTCACTTCTCCTCCGCCTCGCTCATCCTGAATCTGATCTGTGGATGATGATCTTCTGTAATAATTTATATTCCGATATCAATTGGCAGGCCGGAGAACTGAGAGATAGAGAGATGGAGCTGAAGGCTCAGATTTCTGCCCTGATCGACAAGGGCAAGGAGAGAACCAAGGCGGAGAGCGAGGCCGGAGAAGAAGGCCCCATCGTCACCGAGGCCGACATCCAGCACATCGTCTCTTCCTGGACGGGGATACCAGTGGAGAAGGTCTCGAGCGACGAGTCGGACCGACTGCTGAAGATGGAGGAGACCCTCCACACGCGCATCATCGGGCAGGACGAGGCGGTGAAGGCCATCAGCCGGGCCATCCGGCGGGCTCGAGTCGGGCTCAAGAACCCCAATCGGCCGATCGCCAGCTTCATATTCTCCGGCCCAACCGGCGTCGGCAAATCAGAGCTCGCCAAGGCACTCGCCGCCTACTACTTCGGCTCGGAGGAGGCGATGATCCGTCTCGACATGAGTGAATTCATGGAGCGGCACACGGTCTCCAAGCTCATCGGCTCACCACCGGGCTACGTCGGGTACAACGAAGGCGGCCAGCTGACAGAAGCCGTCCGCCGCCGCCCTTACACCGTCGTGCTCTTCGACGAGATCGAGAAGGCCCACCCGGATGTCTTCAACATGATGCTCCAAATCCTCGAGGATGGCCGGTTGACCGACAGCAAGGGCCGCACGGTGGACTTCAAGAACACGCTCCTGATCATGACCTCCAACGTCGGCAGCAGCGTCATCGAGAAGGGCGGCCGCCGTATCGGCTTCGACCTCGACTACGATGAGAAGGACAGCAGCTACAGCCGCATCAAGAGCCTCGTCACCGAGGAGCTCAAGCAGTATTTCCGCCCAGAGTTCCTCAACCGCCTCGACGAGATGATCGTCTTCCGCCAGCTCACCAAGCTCGAGGTCAAGGAGATCGCCGATATCATGCTCAAGGAGGTCTTCGACCGCCTCAAGGTGAAGAGCATCGAGCTCCAGGTGACCGAGAGGTTCAGGGACCGCGTCGTGGAGGAAGGCTACAACCCGAGCTATGGAGCCAGGCCGCTGCGGCGTGCCATCATGCGCCTCTTGGAGGACAGCCTTGCCGAGAAGATGCTCGCCGGAGAGGTCAAAGAGGGGGACTCTGCCATCGTGGACGTCGACCCAGATGGTAGCGTGACCGTCCTCGTCGGCGGCTGCGATGCCGCCATCCCCGAGCCAGTCACCCCCATTCCAATATGACAAATGCGCCTCCGCCGCCGCCACCTAGAGAGGTGCTGCTACTCCCCTTGCTCACGTTGCTAATTCTCAGATGGATGGCCGTCGCTCCATGGAAGAAGGATGTGGATTTGGCCTATTCTTAGGCGCTGATCAGGTTTTTTTTTACTGAACGCTCGCCGGTGGGCCTTTTGTAAAATATGATCGTCATGGTGGAGTCTTCTCAGGCCTCTCCCTCCCCGCACAGGGCTTGTTGTAAATTCTGGTTTTGTGAACTTGGGCGGAGCAGGAGCTGGGGGTTGACAATCCTACCCTACAATTCCATGGAGTTGACCATCCTCATATCTACCTATATACTGGTCCAAGTTGAAGCCCCCAATGCCCCGTTGACTCAGCGTACTCCCATCAATCGGCCTTTCTTCCGGTTGACTTTCTTACCCAGAGGAGGCCCATTTAAGAAAACTATCGAATCTGCTGGAGTGACCTCATCTTGAGAAAACTACAGGGAAGAATTGGTTTTTCTTTTTTTCTTTTTTTCTTTTTTTCTTTTTTTTTTGCTAAGTTTGGTAAGTGGGTGGGTTAACCCGGATTCGAGATCATCAATCTGAGTTCTGGGTGATTCTGATCTGTAGGTTATTCTGCAGACAGAAAACCCATTCAGACGGGGGGAGGCACTTACCCCCATCTTCGGTCCTCGAGTTCGGATGAGCTAAGGTTGGATGATCCACCAAATAAATCGTCAAGAACAGCAATACTAGAGAGAGAGAGAGAGAGAGAGAGAGAGAGAGAGAGAGAGAGAGAGAGAGAGAGAGAGAGAGGGAAGTGTGCAAAAATGGCAGGAAGATTTTACAAAAACCCGGCGAAGATTTGATCCCGATAAGCCGTGGATCATTCTCAAAGACATGGTATAACAAATTGCCTTCTCTGGGGGGAAAACAAAGTAAACAAACCCTAATGAAGCCGTCTGGCGAAACCATACGATACCTCCCAGTAATCAAACAGCTCTGCCCGCGGGTGGGTTCTCTTCTACTACGGCGTCTCTGAGCCAGGCTTTGGAGTGGACGCCGAGTCGATCTCCCTGCGCGATGCTTCCCACAGCTGCTGCTCGATCCCGAGCTTCCTCAGCTCGATCAAACCTCGCTCCACTGAGAGAGGAACAACAAGAGAGCGACGCAGATCAAACCGGGCATCAGCTCTCCATTCGATACGTCAAATATATTACCAAAAGCAGGGAGATTTCTTTTTCTCTTTCTTGGGGTAAGTAAGTATGATGATCCATAAATTACTGACCAGTTTTGAATCATACGGAGAGTTCTTGGGGTTAGAAGATGATCAACGGGGGGAAAATATTACCATCGACGACGTCATGAGAGTTTGGCGCCTGGTTGCTCCTTGCCGCCCAAAATTGAAGCCGATCTTCGGCAATATCCTCTTCGACGCCATGGGATTTGGCTCTCCTCCAGAAATATGTGAGCCAAGCCTGCCGAGGAGGGAGATTAGGGTTTATGGGCGGTGCTTGTCGACAGGGGGATGAACGAGGGACCTCGTCTGTCTACAGCCAGAACATAATCTGACCTCATTCAAGTCCCCAGGCGAAAAGAAAACAAGGTTCTATCATGAAAATAGGGTTTACTGGAGATGTGGCATTTAAATTATGGCCAGTAGAGATTAATATATCCTGCATTAATAAATGAAAATAAAAGAAAAACAAACAGGGAAAAAATTAAGGTGAAGTTCAGGGTATGCCACTTCGTGGAAAGAGCAGACAGGCGAGTCATTATGGTGTTTATAAAGAGGAGACGCATCCGGAGGAAGAACATGAAAAGGAGGGTGGCTGGGTGGGTCAACCTGTTTGAATAAGACGTCTTCTGTTTCCTCTTGGTTCAATTCTGAAACATAAACAGTGGGTGTGAAGAACCCAAGTCAGCAAACCCACCAATCAATTAATCGGGGAAAACAAAAAGGGGAGGCCGAGTCGTTACCGAATGACTCCATGAATTTCATATCACCAGATGATTTAAAATCTGTAAGAACACACAACACATTCAGAATCGTAGGCAAAGGCGAGAGATGCAGCCCAACCTGACAGATGATACTCTAATTGAATGAATGGAACAGAAGAAATTGGCAGTGTGCGATCAAGAACAAAAGATGAAGAAGGCGAGGTACACTTCACGACCAAAACCATTAACCAGAACCGCCCAAGATAAGGGAAAGGGGAACGAACCTGACGCAGATTGCCGAACTAGGTTTGGACGCCGATGATGGGCAAATGCAAGAACAACGGCATCTTCTACCTTCAAAGAACAAAGTATGAGCAGAGTTATCAAAAAGATAAACTAAATTTTTTTTAAAAAAATAAAAAAATTGTGTTGCAACAAAAAGGTATTGTGACTTTTGAGAGCAGTGAGAGCCCGAATTAACAAGGGGATACCAAAGCTTGGGCTAACATATAGAAATATCGGAGAAACTCTGGAGGCAACAGTAGATAATGAATAATGAAAAAAGCAGTGTGGATAGGAAACCGAGAGCAAAGCGAATTAAAAAGACGGATAAAAAGTTAACCTTCAAAGAGGCCAGCTCCCTTAGACCCATCTCAACTGAGAGCATACTCTCTATACTCCCTTCTCCTGTTATGTCATTCAAATCACGTGCAGGTTTGTTCCTTCTCTCAGGATCATCATCACCTAATGTCAAAGAAGTAATAAATTCCATGTGACATTGTGAATAAGGTTAACAAAATGTTTGTCCATAGACCACAAGCCGAATTCATAACAGTTTCCCCACAATCGGTTCATTGAAACAAAGGAAAGCAATCAAGATAAGCCATCCTACCCTGGTTCGAGGACTCTTCCTTTGCTTTTTGTCCGGCAGAAACAACTATTTCAAACGGAAGAGGAGCTAATGATGACCAGTGCTCATGTTTAGACTCTGCGATTTCAGGATAGATACCTGCAAGAAAAATGAAGCCAAAACAGATAAGAAAATCAAGCACGATTCTATACCATTAGAATGATTTATTCCAGCAGTGTTTACTGGACCATTTTGAGACGATAATGTACAGATACATTTAAAATAAATGAAATTAAACAACTATGCATCCCAATGAAAATGAAAAATACGTAGTCAAATATCTTATAGAAATTATGATCACCATCGATGTAATATGACAAACTGAAAACACAGAGGCTGCACCGTAAATTTTTTATTTAAATTGATAGTGTGAGAATTGCACAGGCAATTTGTAAAACAAAAGTCTGTTTCATGGCTAATACTTATTTGATCTCACAGGTGATTCAACTTTCTAAATCCAGGTTGCCCATATTCACGATCGTTAGTATAAACAAGCCTATTTCATCAATTTTCAATAGGAGTTCAACGTGCATCGTGTCGTGGACGCATAAATACCAACTTCATAAAAGGAGGTTACCGTGTTGAACAGCCAGTCCCCAATAACGAGCAAGCCAACATCTTTTGAGAACAACTTCCTCCTTAAAAAAAATAGAACCGTCAGTTGGTTACTGGAAGACCAACAAAGCAATAGAATGCTCAAAGTACATATATCATCCGGTGCCCACCTTCTCTTCCTGTGTTAATATCATTCTGTGTGTCATGGATCGAAGAGCCTTTGCCTCAGATTCTGCATCCTGGAATTGTTCTATAGCAGTTGCAGCCTCAGCTTTTGCAGACTATAAGGAGAAAAGAAAAGTATCAGAGACATTTCATGTATCAGTAAACATTTAGAGTCAATAAAATGCTTGCCTCAATTTTTTGTCGAAGAGCTGCTATTTCTTCATCTCTTCCATCGCTATTTTGTTTGGCAGCCTTTAACGCAGCCTGGATTAAAAAGAATGCAGCCCCGCATGCTAAGTAAAAGAAGATATCACAAATGCGAGCAATCAATGCGTATTGATACCAAAGTAGAACTAAGAAGCAAACAACTCCCAAGTTCCAAATTTGCATAGTCTTGAAGACTTCATCATTAGTAAAAACATCAACAAGACACCCCAAACCCTTCTTTTTAGGTTGACACTGAAATTCGCCGCAAGAGAAAGCATTTCTTCTTTTTTTTTTCTAATTGGTTTCATCCTTTTCTTCAGCTTAGCATATCTCTATCGCTACTTAAAAATCTCGCTGTGGTGGTTATTCAACAACAAGAGTGAAGCTTGCTTCAGAACAATGTTGATCACCAAACCTTCAATGGGTTCAAGATTTAGGTTCCCCGGAAAATTTTGCAGTTCTCACTCGGCATCCTCCCTGAATTACTCACAGGACTTTTCCATCCCTCAAGAGAAAATGAAAGTCGGTCGTTGTCTGACTACCACAAAACCTGGGAAGTACATTGTCTGGCTACCACAAGAGGGAATGAGGGAGATCATAGGGATTCTGATCTCATTTTTAGCTAGGAAGGTTAGAAGGTCTGAAAGGTAACTCACATGATACATAACTAGGTTTCCAAAGAGAAACAAGAAATTTCTGACAAATCAGTGTACTGTTCTCTCACCTAAATACATACTGTGAAGGAAAAATCAATGGCTACGTGCTTGGAGGGGCACTGGACCAAAATCTGTAGAAATCCATGGAGATGATTGCATTGTAAGGCTGTAGAACAAGCTCGTACCAATTGAGGCAGATTCTTGCAGGGAGATGAGATATGAGATAGTCAACGAACCAGAAGTCTCCAAAGATGTTCATCCTATCACCCAGTCTCTCCAAACCCTCAACAAGCCCCAAGTGGGATCAGATGCCTCCAGTTAATACTAGGAAGGGAAAATATTCCTAGATAAACAGTTTCTAGGAAAGAAAGGACAAAATATGATCATTCTTCCTCAGTACAACCGCAAATATAGGAAATGCTAGAGGGATGCTGAACATTTCGCTGACAACTTGAAGTTACAGTCAAAGTTTAGAGCGACTAAAATCCTTAACCAAGCTTTTCAAGACACCAAGTGTGAGTTTTACCTCTCTTTGACGTAATGCTGCTTCTTTCCTGCAAACATCACATAATACCGTCAAAGGCTGGCACATAAAAGGGATTGCTATTATGTTGCCCCAAAGAATCCAAATACCTGCTCAATAGTCGGGCTTCTAGAGATACCCCTTCACCGAGGTTAGCAACCTGCAAAAAATCAGCTTAATAGACATCTAAAAAGGATTGTCATGAAAAATAAATCTATAAAAAAATAAACATTTGACAGTGTTGATCATGATTTAACATCTTCCTGTCCTAGGTTCAACACGCATGTCAACGAAACTACTAGGTAAAATCCTACCTGCCCTCCTGTCCACACGCATATCAATGAAGACTACTAGGTAATGTTATCATGTACATACTACAGAAAATTGTCCTTGAAATTAACCGACTTACGGTTTAAATGCTAGAATTCGTTGCACAAAAAAAGTTTACAATCAGTAGAATGGACGTATCACATTCTGGATATGATTGATAAGTATGATATCAGTAGATATCTGGAACCAAAATAATTGCTTATGAATCATGGCCAATTAGATTTCGAAGAACATGGAAATCGATTTAAAACAAGAAATTATCTCAAATCTGATAAGAGCATCACCCAATATATTTCCATGCATGTTCTGGGGGTAAATTGATACCATAAATAAACTATTGAAGATCGGTGGTGCATTGTTTTGAGTTCGTAGAAAGTAGTTAATGGCTTCTATGAAAGTGCCCAAAAAATTCATCTGGCAGCAAGCAAAACATCTGTTTCATGCTATTCCAAGATATTATATGCATTGACCATAATAAGTTTATTAATGAAAAGGTTGTACAAGTTCAGATTGTACCATTTTGACACCCGTCATTTCATTTATTGAGGGGTTCATACCTCTTGTATTTCAAAAAAGAGAAAATGCACATAGAGGTTTCAAAAAAGAAACACGAATTGCAACCAAGATGAAGACAGAAAGATAAAGAAAAAATCAAGCTAGATTTGCCAAGAAAAATATCGAGGCAGATGGTTTGGTTTAACCGATTTAGGGCTTCACATGTCTTGCATGAAACTGATCAGATAAGTTGAACTTTTCTGGCATAACGACCTTTCAAGACAACGTCTGATTCCTATGAGCCCAACATTTATGGATCTGTAGAAGTGTGAGGTCAATTTAACAAGAAGACGGATGAAATTGGTTCATTTAGCAGACCAAACAACTAAAGTCAGTCAAAGCATTGAGAATAAGAGAACGGACTTATTAAGGTCATCCTTTTAACAGCAAATGGCTAAAATATATATATAAATAAATAAAGCGAGAGACCCATTATTTGCTTATATCCTAAAAGGAAAGTCATCAAAAAAATAGTTCATAAATTACGAACATTCAGCAAACTTAAACTGACCTGTTTCTCAAGCTCCCTAACCCTAGCCTCCGCTTCCTCATATCTTTCTTCTGCACGACGAAGCTGGACAGAAAATTCAAAATAAATGTTTAATTCCGATCACTACTTTTACAGCTTTTACAGAAACAAAAAATGGCTTATTTTATCAGATGAAGTACCTTGTCAAGGATATTCTCATTCTCTTCTTGTAGCATATCAAGCTGCAAACTCATAACAAATGTCTCAATCAGAATCCTAGAAAGCAAGCTACTCAAATTTAGAAGATGTTTAAATTGTCACTGCTTCTTTCTTCACCTTAATTTATAAAAGGAACAAAAACATGATGAGGCTCAAAGTAACCAACACTGATTAGGTAAATTTTCATTGTTGAAGATTGGTGATTTTCATTGGACTATAACTGAAATGATAACGTTCAGAAAAAACGAAACAATGGCAAATACCTCATCTTGAAGAGCAGAAGCCTCACGCTGCTGCCCTACATCCCTCGAGTATGATTGCGGTGGTCTAACATCTGCAGAAAACCTGTAAAAAGTGTTAAAACCATCCACAGAAATTTATAAGCTACAATATATTAGCATGCCAAACAGTCTGCAAGTAGATAGGCCGGTACATGGTCAAGAAAAGGACCTTTAGAAGAACTAAATGTGTAGGGAATGATCCAATATGAACTTGGTAAAGAACTGTGACCATTTACGGTGAACAATTCCACGGTCAAGTATACTTTCAATTACACACAGAATGTGGTTTCCTATAGAAAAGAACAATCGAAAAAACATACTGCAAAAAAAAAAAAGAACAACATCCTACTTCCACTCCTGACACTGCACTAAGAAAGAGAAAAAAAATAACTGTTTCACAAATTGGAACGCTTAAACTGCCGTGACTTCTTTCTGCCAACTTTCGAAACATCATAAAAAACTCCTGACTCAAAAGGCGAATCTTCAAAAATGGTCATAGCTACATAATAGCGATATCCTGGATCTGATTAAAGCTACCTTGAAACGTTCTTCTGTATTTTTCACACCTGATGGTCCATGACACGGCAGGAAGTAGGAGTATCCACCTGTCTGACTGAGATGGAATGACAAGAGACGATCCTCACTGCACCATCAGAGGACATGAGCCTTCAAAGAGAGTCTATTTCAATACCAATCAGGTAAAACACGTTTTTAAAGAACATTTAATTCCACACTCCACAAAACTGATCACTGGATTTCTCTTTATAATTCCACACTATATATTGGTATCGATTCCCTACCTAAATTTGCCTTGACTTCTCTCCTTCCAGTGGAACACTAACTACTTTGATAGTTGCAGGAACCAAAGACACATCAACAGATTACTAAAATCCACTAAAACAAAAATATCCCAACTCCAATGAGATTAAATGGAACCTCTCAATGTTCTAGAAACATAATGAGATGTTAATTAGCAGGTGGCTTGAGTAAAATGGGCTTCTTCAACTAAATGCCAATCTTCTAGGACCAGGTCGCAATGAGGTCTCAGCCTCTGCCATGTATACTCATCCCTCTCAATGTCTGCCAATGCTCGTTCATCTGTCCCCCTCTGTATCCTAACTGGCTTCAACATAATGTGCCACTTCCTTTCAAGTGGGATACTCCATCTCAAAGACTAAGCATGTGGATCCTTCATTTCTTATTTTAACCCATTTGGAAATGAGGTCTAGAGGCCCCAGCTATACCTTGACAGTTACAGAATTCAGAGAAGACACATGGAGTGCCTCCTTGTCCACATCATTTCAGATACCCATATCCAAATAGAGTTTGAAGGGAATACATGCATGACAATTAAGAGGCATGCCTATTAGCCTACTAAAACTGTCGACACTTATTTATAGTCTACCTCTATCAGACTGACTACTCTGTGCATTTTCGTTTCCTTCCATGATGGGTTGCGGATCCTGGCGACATCGTCTAGATTTCACAGTCCCTCATGCGATCAGCCTTATCTCCATTTTTACTTTATTCACCTCCTCGTTCTCTCATATCATTACATTCATCCACTTAGTACTCGAGGCCTAGTCATCGTTTCCCAATTTCAAGATCTCCTGTTGCCCAATGACCTTACGCCCGTCAGTTTCACCTTGTAAATCATTCTAACTTCTGCATGGGGTGGTCGATTTTGACACCCCGTGATCCATCATCCCTTCCTCAAGGAAATCCTATCAACCACCATCTGGGTAGGTGCCAAGCCTCCAATCACCAGGCACTTTTATTGCTTTCAGAAATTTTCAGATCAGTTCCCACTCAGACTGTTCCAACATATGCCATCAGTCCCCAACTTCCGTATGTGCAGTACAAGTTCACAATATCTTCATTCCTCATTTAGAATGGTTTTCCACTCCTCTTGTACCTCACTGCATGCCAGCTATACACCCCCCCTTCCAAATTATCATCCTATCCACTTTCCAGGTTTGAAAAATGGTCATTAAAACTCGTGTCATACCTGTTGGTGGTGGTTGGGTGGGATGGTGAATTAGACCAGAAGCTGGGAGCAGAACTGATAGCCAGCCTTGTCAGAAACCACATTAGAAAAATCATCACAAAGAAGTTTTTCCAGACCCAGAATTGATGATTACAGAGAGAACTCAATTTATCAAAAATATTCCGTCCTTTGGTACCTTCCACTGCATATATTCTTTCCATTCTCATTCCTTTCCTCAATAGTATTATGCCATTACAATTCACCGCTGTCAATTTATTGGACAGAAGTCTTGGAAACAAAATGTCATTAAGAAATTAAAAGTTTCTATCATTTATCTTCATTCATACTTAAATGTCAAAAGTTAAAAAAAAAATCGACTGTTCATGTTTGCAGAATCTGTACAGCAGCATGATATGTAACACACCTATTATCTCTACGTCTTTCAACAGGAATGTCTACTGCTGGAATAGGGGACGGCGCCTTGAGCGTCCGAACTGGTGGCACCACTTGTGTTGGACGAACAGCAACTGCCGGTCTTCCTGTAGATGTTGAGCGAACAGATGTTGCGTGCTCCGTAGAGTTCCGGCCTAACTAATTAAAATTGAGAGAGTATTAATGTGAATTAACTGCCCAGAAGATGAAAATCATCATTATCAATTTTCAAGTATCATAATTATCAGTCATAAATATTATAGTAAAACGAAACCAGGAAAATATTAAAAAAAGGAGTATTACATAATGACTCATAGAGTTAAACAATACTCACAACTACAGTCGAGATACAAAAATTGCAATTATCAGGCACGTGTTACATATTGATCACAGTCAAAAATACTTTTAGTAAAATAAAACCAGTCAAAATATCTCAAGTAAAAAAAATGAAACCATCAGAAACAGTTGTGGCAAATTGTAGAACAAGTAACTGACCTATTTCGATGACACAGTAGCAAATGCGATATTTACCAGATCATCTGGCTCTTTAGGGTCTCATAAAATCAGTTTAAACATCTGATTGAAGCAATTGACACAAGTTGTCACGGTTTTCAATAAACCAGACTTTGAAAAATGGATAAAATTTTAAAGAATAAAACCAGACGTTGAATGAACAAGTAAAAGAAGACCTGCAATAAAAACACAGGTGAACTCGTAAAAAAACTCGCAACAAAAGGAGATATATTGTATTCCCAAAATAAATAACCCTGCAAGGAATCAAAACGCCAGGAAAACCAATGCAACCATGAAAGAGGATATTTAGGAAAAAACATCCAGATTATTTAACTTTAGAACTGAGGAGAAATAAACAAAAGCTGATTCCCAGTAACGATGATTACAGCGGGTGATGGAGATCTGGCTGCCCTCGCTAATGCAGTAGCACCACCACCAGCGCCATTATTGCTCTGCCTTGGAGCACCAAAGCGAAATGCAGACATGCTGATGGGAGGAGCATTGTCTTCTTCCTCTTCGTCGTCATCATCATTGGAGCCGGCCTGAGACGCCATAACCTGCGCCAGGCGAGCGGCAGCCCTCTTGGCGGCCACATTTTGAGTCTTCTTTACGTTGGACAGCCCTCCTCCCGCTGCCGTGGGCCGGTGATTAGCCGGGGACCTCCCCGGCGAGGATGATCCCGTGCTACTCCCTCCCCCGCTGATCTGACGCGAGTAAACCGGGCTCGCCGCTCTCCTCCTCTCCATCCCCGACAACTCCTGTCTTCTCACTGGTTAAACAACTTGGAAGAAGGAAAGGACCCAGCAAATGTCTCCGGCCCGATTGGGCTGCGCTTCGGAGGGCTTCCAGCGAAGGGGAACAAAACAGATCCGGGGCGAGCTAGTCAGATCAGCAATTGTCAACCCCCGTCCCTTCGACGCAGCCGACAGTCAGAATTCTTCCAAACCAGAAGGGAGCCACAGCGAATCCACCGAGCATGGAACGTCCAAGCCCGCAGGCGGTCCAAATGACTGCGATCCTCGAGAAGATCTCACCACGGGAGAAGGCGACGAGGAGTAAGAGGAGAGAATCTACCCAGTAGGAGTCCCCCGACCTCAGACGAAACAAGGCACCAATCCAAAAGGTGGCAGATCCGCCTCCCCGCTAGGTTCTTGTCGTCGCCGTCGCCCCGCAATTAAGCAGATCCGGTTGTTCCCGCTCTGCCGCTGGAGTATTAAAAAATCGCCGCTCGAATGCAGCAAGACTGACCTACGAGCTTCCGCAGAGCGCGGCAGCCATTAATGGAGTCCTTCGCCCCCACCTCCACCTCTCTACCAGAGCCCGGCCGTCATGGAAGCGTTCACTGATCGGTCCTCATCAATCACCGCCTTTCATCACCGGCCGCGCTCATCGGATCCTCCCGAATAAACAAGAAGCGGGAGGATATTAAGAAAACAGAAGAAGACGACGGCGGTGAGGGCTCCGGCGGTGGCCCCCCTCCCTCTTCTCTCTCTCCCTCTCTCCTCTCGCCAGACGCCGCAGAACCACAGAACGCCGCTCCCACAGACGAAGGGGCCCCTTCTACCTGGGCCCCTCGGTGTTTTCCCCAATTTGGGCTTTAAAATTAGGCCCAAATTTGCCTTCTTCCCTTCTCTCTCTCTGTCTCTGAAGGGGCTAGTCCGAGGTGGGCCCCGCAGATTCGCAAGAACGCCTTTTTGAATGTGTTAATGGGCCGGCCAGGTAAGCAAATCCATGGGCTCAATAGTAAAGCCTATAAAGGGAAACTGAGCCCGCTCCGCCCTCATCTTGGGTAGACAGGCTTTTGGAGCCCTCGGCCATTAACATCGACAGCTGCGACGGAAAATCCAAGTTAAATACGTACACGTATGTGCGGGCAACAAATATATCGGAAATGACGGTTTGATTTGAATAAAATAATTATTATCACACTGTGACGTCATAAAAACCACGTGGATCCTTTTCGCCACGCCAGCTGAATGGGCCCCACTTGTTTACGTGGCGCCGACGCGACATTCAAGGAAACATAAGCTCCTTTGTTGTTGACTTTTCCCGTTGATCATCTGCAAGCGTAAGGGTAACTTACGGCGAAACCCACGAAACTTGTGGTAGTAGGCTTATAAACCCTTCTTTAATAATTATATGCTCCCTACCCCCCCCCCTCCCTCTTTTCTAGGGCCGTCCTCTTCTTGCGTCCTTTTTTAAAATACCCCCTTCATCTGATTTATATTTTTTTCGAATCCGCGCTTAGTTCTGCTGTACCGCGGCTTAGGGGAGGGGGTTACCGTCGGTCGTAATTTTGAAGGGTGGAGCATTTTGTTACTCTGCGCTCGCTCACCCTTTAACCCGGCCGGCTTATGTTAGGGAGGGTGTGAAGGGCGGTCCAAGATACCGCCTGGGTCGTCCTCTTCCTACGGTGGCTGGGCAAGCGGCTGTTTAATGGCGAAGTCCAGCTCGCTAGCACGCCGGTACAGCAGAGCCGACGCCTCAACCCTGCAAGACACAGAGACAGAGCGGTTAGAAGCAGCGGCGCTGCCACCGGCCGGCGGAGGTCGCCGCGGGGATGAAGAAGAAGGAGAAGCAGAAGGGAGTTGATGATTTCTCACCATCCTGGGTAGACGACGAATCTCCCGGTGGATAGAGCCCAGTTGACCTGAGAAGCAATAGAGAGACACGGGGATAAAATTTCTCCGGCGGAGATTTCTCCGGCGAGCGGCGGCGGAAGGAGGAGGAGGGAGGACCTTATCGGTGCCGAGCGAGTTGGCGACGACGTGGGTGACCTGGTCGTCGATCTGATTGGTGCAGGTGGCGCCGAATTGCTCGGCGATCTGCCAGAGCGGATGGAGATGGGGATTGGCCTCGCCGACGGGGAAGATCCGGCTGAAGACGATGCGGCAGCCGGCCAAGATCCGCCGCTGTTCGGCGGCGATGATGTTCCTCACGTCCACGCCGGCGGGGCACCGGTCGGCGAAGAAGGTCCGGTGGATCCTCTCGATGACCTGCTCGCAACAGGGGAAAAACCAAAACCAGTTAGGGCACCAACAATCGCCCCATTCTCCTGAAGAAGAGAGGAGGAAGGACGAGCCGCAGACCGCCAGCGCAGAGGCGAGAGTGCCGTCCTCGACCCGCTCGTCGTGGTCGATATCGAGAAGGGAAGGCCCCGGCATGCCGAACTGCCGCCGACTGCAAGGGAAGTAGGTGTACCTGCAGAAGGAGCTCGCGCTTCAGGCCGCCATCGCCGCCATAGCGAAGAAGAAGAAGAAGAAGAACGAGGATGGGGGAGGAGGGAGGGTACCTCTCGACGACGATGAGGTTGAGCTTGTGGTGGGGCCATACGCGCAAGGAGTCATCGATGATGACCACCGCCGACTCCATGCCCAGAACGCCGTCCAGGTCCTTGCTCTTGGGCAGCCGCTCGTCGCCGTCGAAGAGGTCGCCGTCGTCTCCCTTGGAAATGACTCGGCCGGCGAAGAGCACGCCGGTGGGGTCGAGCACCTTCGCCATCTCCGTGGCGTAGAGCTTGTTGCCCATGGTGTACAGATGCAGCTCGAAGAGCTTGCTCGTCTGCAGCAGTATCAGGGACAGGGATGCTCAGCTTACTGTAAATCAAAGCACACGTTGCAGGAAAAAAAAAACCAAAATTGTCTGCGTTTCTAGGGTTCTTAGGATCTCTTTTTTGTTATCGGAAATCGCAATGGCCATCGAGATATAAAAAAACTTCCAGAAATCAAGTCGGAATTTTTTGGGCATATTTCAGGTACCCATTGGGCATCAAGAAGAACCAGAATTGTGTTGTTGATAGGGTTCTTGGGATCGTCATCAAAATCAGCGTACCTTTTCAAGGAAATTCCAGATACCCGGTCGCAGCTTCGTCCACATTCCCATGTGGGGGAACCGAAAGAGGCTTCTTTGCGGCTTCTCACGATCCTGCTCCTCCTTTCTCCGCAGAATCTCCTCATGAACTTGATCCACCTCTGAAAACTAATGGATGATCACAGATCCAGCTATGTCAGCTTAATAAGAAGAAGATAAAACGGAAAAATAATTTAAAAGAATTTATCATTTTTTTTCCATTACCTTTGCAGAATTGAGAAGTGTGTGATCCAAATCCAAGACGAGGCAGAGTTTCCTGTCGGCAATCATTCTGTTCTGTTCTTCGATCCTTCTAGCCCTCTCGCGCTGAATCGCGGCCTTCTGAAGCTCATCGTAACCGTCCAATAAATGTTCCATATCCCCCCATGGATCAGACGACTTTGATGTAGACGCTTTTTGTTGATCATTTGACTCTTCTGCCGCAGTCCTTGCATCCACCATCTCCACCTTTGTTGGCAGAGACTGGGAAGCAGTCTGAGGACCTGAAAAGTCGCAACCAGCTACTAGTGAAGCAGAGGTTGCATCAGCAATGTTCTTAACGCCTTTATTAAATTGGTTGGGTGCATTGGGCACCAGGGTTAGCTGGGGAGGTGACAAAGCAGCTTGGACCGGCTCCCCTAGAGCTTTCGTCGTTGACTTGTTCCTATCAGTATTTGAGGGACCCGCAATCGCTTTTGACTGATCATTCCCCAAACCTTCGCTCTTCTGAAGCATGTTACTGTGAAGGATGCGGCGAGGATCTCTAGACTTCATTCGTATCTTCCCAGCACCGTCCTGGGGTTCCTGCAACTAAAGTTGAAATAAATGTACTCAAAACGAGTGACACATCTCAATAATTAAGTGAAATTAACAGCCTAAGCGTAAGCTTCTCAATTGTCAAGAAATAACGTTTCTTGAGAAATTTCTGACTTGTTTCACGCCATTAGTCATCTGTAAAAATTAGGACTCTAGAGATTTAAGTTTCCAAATAGAAGGCAGCAAAGAACAAGAAAGATTGGTTTGGACCTTCCAAACCCATATCTATCCAATTAATTGGTTATTCAACCAAGAAGGTATCTTACCATCTGCGTTGTTTGAGAGCTCACTTTAATTTTGCCATCTATTTTTTGATCAGATTGTAGAAACCTTGGTGGGGGACCGCTTGTTGAAGGAACAGCTTCAGGGGTTCTCTCCCTGATTGAAGGATTTGTCACGGCAGGACCCAAATTAGCAGTCATCAGCTGAGTTTCAACAGCTAATCTCTGTTTTTCCTTAACCAGATGCGTCAGTATGGTGGAGTCTCCAGCAAAGTCCTTCAGCAAAGAAAGCAATGAAACCATTGGAGAGCTACTCACTGCAGGCGCCGGATCGTTCCTGACAATTGTCTCTTTTAAGCTCACACCCTGCGTCCCACCGGGGTTAGCTTCTGCCTTTTCTATTTTTCTGTTCTCGTTTAACCTGCTGTCAATAGGCTGACCCATGATCCCTTGTTGAGCCACCAAGGCGCCATTATCTTCTATCCAGCCATCTTTCCTTGTTGAAATCTGCAAATCATTTCTATCTGGCGACTCATTTCTCTGCCTTTTCAAATTATGATTCTCAAGCACAGACTCATCAACAAACTTCTGCTTTCTTGATATTGCAATCGACACATTAGTAAGCCCATCAGAGTTTACACCATTACCCGGCGGGAGCGAGTGCTTTAGTCTGGGATCCCTGCTCTTTAACGAAGCTTTTGCCACCAAGTTTATGCCAGGGCCCACCTGCCATTCCATTGGACTAGGAATCAATCCTGGTCTGCTTAAGTTATCTCCACAGCTAGTATCAGAGATAGAACTACCAGGCTGCAATGATACAGATGAACCCACAGTTGTCACAGCATTCGGAATGAGAGAACTAGAAACTTCTTGAAAGTCTCCATCACCGCCATTGCACTCTTCGGAAGGAGTTGGGCTCGGGAGTTCATTAGATGGAAGAAAGGAAGCATGAAAGTATTTCTGCTGATAAGTAGAAAAGGTCGTGCCATCTTTTTCACGGGTCCGTGATACACTATGTTTATATTCATCTTTTTTCCTAGCGACAGGCTGAGGAGCTGGTTCTCTGGGCCCTTCCCCAAATGTTTTCTGATCAAGCAAAGGCGGAACACCGTCCCGGGTAGGTGAAGGCAAACTGTTCTCATCATGGTTTGCATGCAGATCCAACAGAGGATGATAGTCTACTCTGATTTTAGGGATGGGAGGTGATTCTACCAAGGGCAACTTGGGAGGAGCAGCAGCGTTATTGTTCCTAGCCGTAGCATCAACAGTAGAACACAATAATCTGGGTTCCTGCTGAGGTGCTGTTTCTATCCCTCTGTCGACAGCAGCACAAGCCAAAGATTGCATCATCTCATTCACCTGCAAAGGGTGGCATCTAACGTTAGGGTAAAATGTTCATGCCTCCATTCAAATAAGATAGGAAAAGCAAAAAGAGTACCTCCTCCATCTGCTCAGGTTTAAGCATTGCAGACACTCGGTTCTTCAGGTGAGAAAGCAACCTAAAACAACAAGGGTCAGATTGAAGAAATTGAAGAAAGAGGAGGAAAGCAATCCCACTGGATGACGAAGTGGAGAAAGACCTGAATAGTGGCTTCCTATTCTGATCACTCCTCGTCATATATACCTGACAACATTTTGGTTATTAACATCAATATTCATGGCAGGAGACACCAATTCACGCGGGGAAAGCATGATATATCTTACAGAGTAAACAGTTTGAACCCCCATGAGTGCCTGTTGCAGTAAAGCATCTACAACAGGAAGACTACTCTCTGCTACCATTTTCTGCAAGCCGTCCAATGTCTTACATAGTCGAAAACAAGCTTCGTCAAAACATCTGTACAAGGAAACAAACGCCTCATTCAGAAAAGCTTCATCACCGACAAGACCAAAATCTTGAGAACCTCCAATGAAATATCATCTAAGTTAATTATCAAAGGTCCGAAGTTCCATCAAAACTCTTTTTTTGCGTCATTTATGAGTATTAAGTATAATTTCTTTTAAGTCTCGTCTCAGAAATCCTACGCTATGACTTACTTCTCTGCATATTCCTCATTTATGGCTTCCAACTCTTCTAAAGTGGTGACGACTAACGCATCGAAGTCGATTTCCGTTTCCGATTCGAAATCCCCACTCGAATAATCCCCTTCACTTGTCTCCACTCGCGTCGAAACTGGAATCCCCTCAGAAACCACCGGCTGTTCGGCATCCTTCGACGGGTCGCAGACGATTTCATGAACGAAATCAACCTCCCCAGATGCCAGAGTGATCTCCCCTTCCTCTAGTTCTCCCTCCTCCTTTTCCACCGGACCACTGGACTCCATGTTCTCCACCAAATCACCGTCTTCCTGCCCCGACGGTACAGTCGTGGCGTCGTCTTCCCCAGGGTTCAACGATCCGGATCCCATAGGTGTCGCCTCCTCGGGGACGAAGCTGACCAGAGGCTTGTTCTGAACCGCCTGCGCCCAAGCGAAGTTGTAAAGATTGGCGGCGTAGTTCCTCCCCAACATGGTAGAAAACCGCATCGGATCCCCCATCCAAACCCTACCCGACCTCGACGTCCTGGGGAAGTCCCGTCGCTTCACATCCTCCTCAGGGACCCCCTCCACCGCATTGTACGATATATCTCCCTCATCCTCCTCACCAAGAAGAGCCCCATCCCTCGCCATCCTGCTCACCGGCCGTTCCTTCTCCTCGGCGACTCCAACAAAAGCGGCGCGATCTCGGGATTCAGCAAGTTCGCCGCCTTCCCCTATGCCTGCCAAATCTCCGCCGCTCTATATCTCCGACGATCCTCCGGCCAGATCTCCCGAGGTCTCCGCTCCGCACCGGAACCCTAGGATTCCAGCGCCGTCACTACTCCCTCGCGAGGAATCCAAAGGGCTGGATCTGCGGCCGCGGGAGCCAAACCCACTCCGCCTCCGGCAAGATATAGCCTGAAAGAAGAACGATAGAGAACCCCGACTCTGACTTGTTCGGGCTCAGGAACCTTATATTGACTCTCTTCTGCGCCCTTCAGCCTGGACCATTCAAATTAACCCCAAGTTTCCATCAATTTACTAAGCATGCCATTTTTTCTGCCGTCTGCGTCAGTTTTAAAAAACTAATTAATTTCCGTTATTAAATTGACAAGGCCACGCATCAAAATCCACTCATCCCATCACCACAAATCAAATAATAAAATTTATTTTATTTTTTTTATTTGGTAGGTGAGAAGAATGATTAGAACCCATTGATAGCAATCCCAATTCACGCGGTCCATCATATTTGCATGTATATGTGCCAATGAGGATGAGAGGAGCCTGGATTAATGATATTTTGTGCTTTTTCTTGCAAAGAAATGTCCTATTTCACTTGATTTCTCAACATATATTTTCTATAAATACATTAAATAAATTCATATTAAACTATTTTTAGAATTTTTTGAAAAAAGTGATTTGGGTCTTCTTGCCAAATTGGATAATCCAATGATTTTTCTATCAACAAAATGATTATCCAATTATTCATTAAAAACTTAGACCAATTATAGGTTGGACCAATGTTTTACCCAAAAAATTCAAAGACTGATATGCTCATCTCTAATAATACCAGTAGAATGATGATGATTTACACCTACATTAATCTAAAGAGAGGGAGAGAGAGGGAGAGGGAAGGAGAGGGAGAGAGAGGGAGAGGGAAGGAGAGGGAGGGAGAGAGAGGGAGAGGGAAGGAGAGGGAAGGAGAGGGAGGGAGAGAGAGAGAGAGAGATACTATTGCAAATATGATACTAGGAAATATTCATATGAATTATAAGATGGGGTTTTCGGATGGATTATTTATATTTAACTATATTCTTTGTACTCCTTCATTTTTGGTAAGATCTAGCCTTCCATGCTATTATGGGTCTAAAGCCATTCATCTCATTATGCATTGGTTAGTGGCATCAGTTTCTGCTTTCATGGACTTCAAATATTACTTTTAGGATATATTAACATATTTTTAATAAGAATATATGAAAAAGATTAAAACTCCTCCTAAAGAAATAAGAAATATAAAGTAAATAAGCTAATTATGTATTAGCAAATATTGTCTAAATGACAATTAACGTTTCAATAAATATTATATTATTTAATTACCGAGGGCGGGAATAAAGGGAATGGCGGCCTCGCGTGGGTCGACAGCAGAGAAAGGTGCGGCGGTGCGGAATATACAGCCCATTAAATAACAAAATGACCACATTATATATATTTAATTACGAAAATACCAAGATCAGAGAATCTCTCTGCTATTTCAGTGGGATTACCGCACGAGCCGGCCCAGGCTTGGCCCGGAGCCCGGGACTACCGGGCCCATTGTGCCCATTTCAGCGGGGGCTTGTCACGTGGGCGAAAGAAGATATGCCACGTGGCATCGAGATGGATCTCGCCTAATTTATTTTCCGGGCGGGTCAAGTCTAAGATCGGGCTGCACTTCGGGCGTACCCGGGCCATTGTAGCATCGTCAGCGGTTAGGGGTAGAATTGTGATTTATCGTAATGCCAAGGGTATACAACAAAGATGGCCGTCAGACGAAAATGGTGGAGCTCAACAGGCCGTCGAGTTCCTTTGGCAGTCGGAGGGCGAGCTCTTCTTCCTTCCTCTCTTCTCGTCCTCCTCCTCGCATGATCCCTATAACTTGGAGCTCGGTGCCTGGCAGAGATGGTTCAGGCCGATAGCTCCACCCGACGTTCCGTCATCCCTAGATTTCTCTACTGCCCTGCCTCTGCTGCCGTCGGCACCACTAAATCCCTGGTCTTCGACGGGTTCCTTCTGGCCAGGGACGGGGGCGCGACGGCCTCATTGCCGTCGTCGCCATCGCCCGAACCTCCTAATGACGAAGCACCGGAGCAGTTTCTCGTTCCGGCGCCCAAGGAGAAGATTGAGCTCTACTCGCCCCAGTTTTACGCGGCCTGTACTGCTGGTGGGATCGCTAGCTGTGGTCTCACCCACACGGCAGTTACTCCCTTGGATCTCGTCAAATGCAATATGCAGGTAAGTGTTGCGGGTTCAGGAGCTCGGCTTGTCCGGACAAGGTTTACGCAAAATGCGTTATGGCTGGTTGCTTGATGACTGCTTATGTTGACTCTACGTAGGCGATATATTTCGATGTTCTGTTACGTTATTACTTTTTCGAAAACCTTGATAAAACTTTTACGGCATGTTTGTTAATATAATTTAACGGTATATACTTGATAAAGATATTTCTAATGTGTTGCAAACGATTTATCATCTACTTCCTTAAACTATCATTAATGCATTTTATTTTAATGTGGCTTATTTTTTTCAATCTCTGTCGTTTTTCCCCTATTATATCTGAAAATTATTTTTCTTTCGGGTTTTCCAAGGTGAAAGGCTTCCAATAATGGGTAAATGCCACTACTTTTACCAACTCTTCTAATGAACTCTCGAGCATGTGTTCGTTGTTCCCGAAGGTCATGGCTGTAGCATGTTACCCGATTTTTTCGTTCACTCCCGCATGTCCAAAGTTTGGTAGTATATCTTTACACTTTGGTATTTTAATCATTTCTGTGAAGTTTTAATTTTTTAGTGATAGGACCATACCAAAAGTTTGATCTTAATATGGACACTTCCATTGATCATTTAATCGCATTTCCTCAGATTAATCCTGAAAAGTACAAGAGCATTTCATCTGGATTTGGTGTCCTTCTGAAAGAGCAGGCCATCAGAGGCTTCTTCAGGGGATGGGTGCCGACTTTGTTAGGATACAGTGCTCAGGGTGCATGCAAGTTTGGATTTTACGAGTTCTTCAAGAAATATTATTCTGATATTGCTGGACCGGAGAATGCGGCTAAGTACAAGACACTGATCTACCTTGCGGGCTCTGCCTCTGCGGAGGTTATTGCTGATATTGCCCTTTGCCCAATGGAAGCTGTGAAAGTACGTGTCCAAACACAGCCTGGCTTTGCCAGAGGTCTGTCAGATGGATTGCCCAAGTTTGTCAAATCTGAAGGTGCACTGGGGTATGCTGTCAAGCGTTTTTTTCTTATTCTCAGTTGAATGCATCATGTATTCATTTCTTGATCCATTTCTTTGACGTTTTATAGGTTGTATAAAGGCATCGTTCCACTCTGGGGACGGCAGATTCCTTGTAAGGTTTTTTCCTCCTATTTTTTCATGTCAGATGCTCCGTACTTTTAAAAAATATCTGCATTATTGCCCCTATTTCTCTTTTTTTTGGGTAAACTCTCACATAAGCCACATATTCTTTGGGTTATCATTTGTTTAGGTGCTACGTTTTGTTCGAACTCTAATGTTCAATCGCTTGTTATCTTTATGGATGGACGGTGATACGATGGATGCAAGCTAGTCATCATGCAAAATTCTACATGACGTCCAATTCTTGTCAATAATCGAAGCTCATTCATGTCTGTGTTCACAGTTTTGTTTATGCTTTAATCTCTTTTTCATGTTCCATTATTGCAATATTGAGAGGTCAAATTTTTAGGTTATCAGTTATCTCCAAATCATTATGGTGATTCATGTGATAGGACCAGTTCAACATCACCCAAGTCAATGCCAGTGGAATGTCATCAAGTTTAGTGAAGGGTTTACCATAAAAAATGTTTATTTGAACTCCGGGCTTATGGAAAATTCCAAGTTGGTGCATTCCCATGTTAATGCACCAACTTGGGATCATATTAATGTATGTTGGTCTGCTGTAGGTGTTTCATCTCCATCCACAAGAAGCATTACCCCACATTCCCTGTAAAAACAAAAGTTCAGCTCTGTGGCATTCTCAGTTATATTTAATTAAAGTGTTGAGAAATGCATGTGAGTGTTGCTACAAGCTTTTTCTCTGCTGAATCCAATATCCTTCTGGTGTATTGACGAACGAGGTTGGTTTTCTAATTCTTTTAAAAACTCATGTAGATCAGGATGATTAAATTCAAATAAAATTTATGTATCCATTAATTTACCGTAGATAAATTGATCATTAACCCTTCACTGATAATTTTCAGTGTGATAAAGTTCTTTCACAGGACTTTAGAAAAAAATAGAAAAAAAAGGCCAAGTCTCATTTAGTTTTGTCTGAGTTTTTCAGGTTGTATGTAATCATGTGTTCTCAGATTTTATAAAGCGTTATATGTTTATGTGTGCCTATTTGTATAAAATTTGTCGTGGAAACGAGAGTACTCCAGAACATTTTTGTCTTTGATATCTATTGCCAGGCATAGTGGACCTTATTTTAAATAAACCATCTTAACTATGCCTTGATGTGCTTCCATGCCAAGGTGGCATTGGCCCCGGGTTTAAGAAGGCCAGGACTGGGCTGCCTACTCTACAGATTGCACCAGTTTTGCTCTGGTCCTATTCAGAATAGAAATTGTCTGGTCTGAACTTCTGTACTGTACAGTTGGAAACTTCCTTGTGTCTTATGTTCTTTTGATTCTGATGGTCTATTTGTTTCTGCACCTTTTTGAAGAAAAAATAAGTACAATGATCCCATATGGATTTGAATGTTTTGGGTTTCCTCCAACTTGTTTATGAAAGGTAACAGAAATCCCTGATCTCTCAGTATTTCTAGGAAGGTTTTGATCAATCATTACACTAACAAAGCATACTCATGGTTTACATTGTTAGAAAACCAATCGCCAATGTCTACCTTGCAGAAAAAATCTTTAGTTCCTGCTCTACTTATCATATGGGCCTAATAATTTATTGGCTATGTTAAGGTACAATGTTCAATGGAAGGTCTAAACACTAGGTTTACTGCTAAGTGCATCAAATTATCCTTGATAATTCACTAGTATGATTTTATCTCTAATGGAACAAGCTGTGTACCCGGAGCTTCATCCCTAATTTTCTTGCCCATTATGACCACGGAAACAAGAAGAGATCTCTGCCTTATTTCCATATGTGGAACAAGCATTGTAGATGGCTGCCACTCGGGAACAGTGTGACAAGTGGACTCATCATCACTACTGTTATCAATAGGCGGCATCTTTCAATGCCATAGTCAGCAGGAAAGGAAGAGGCCCAATGAACTGTAATTTTCACAAGTAAATAATTGCTTCTTAATGATAGTTATACCAGGAATAATACTTTTATCTTATTAAAAATAATGTTTTTTTTACTGCTTATTGTACTGTTCTAATGCACGATGATTTTGTGCAGTTATGTATCAGTGTCTGGCCAATTCTTTTCTCTACTTTACATATTTCCCACTTACATCAGTTGTATATTTTTTGAATATTTATATTTGTAAAAAAAAAATCTTTGCGTGAAGATACTCGCATTTTTATATATATATATAAATTTCCCACTTGCATTTTGTACTCTCAGATACAATGATGAAGTTTGCGTCCTTTGAGACTGTCGTTGAGATGATCTACAAGCACGCCGTCCCCAAGCCCAAGGACCAGTGCAGCAAGGAGCTCCAGCTCGGCATAAGCTTTGCCGGTGGCTACATCGCCGGTGTCTTCTGTGCAGTCGTCTCACACCCGGCCGATAATCTCGTCTCTTTCCTCAACAATGCCAAGGGAGCCACAGTCGGTGATGTATGCCCCCTCCACCGGCGTTGGCAGCAGCGGCGGCGACGGCGGATCTTTTTCCCTGCCGACACCCACCCTGCTGCCACCTCTACTCTCTCGGCCTGTGCTCAGGTTTTGCCATTTTCGGGTTGCTTTCAGGCCGTCAGGAAGCTTGGGGTGTGGGGCCTCTTCACAAGGGGGCTCCCACTGCGTATTGTGATGATAGGGACGCTGACTGGTGCGCAGTGGGGCATCTACGACGCCTTCAAGGTCCTTGTTGGCCTGTAAGTCTCTCTCTATCTCTCTCTTTCTCTTTCTATCTCTACTCTCTCAAGTTTTATGTTAGAAGGAAGATTACTATTATACGTCAGCTATGGATGCCAGCGAGGGGGGGCCCATTACTTTTTCTAAATCCCACAATGAAGGTTGATAATATCTGGGAATAGCTATAATGTAATCTCCTTACTTGGGGGGGGGGGGGGGAGGTTGCCAACCAGGCTGCCAGCTGGCGGGTCACTGGGTTAAAGAACGGTGGACGTGGCAGGTCTACTGCTGCCGCGTGGAAACATCTGGGGCCCACAGTCTTCTCTCTCTTTACTATTTCTGTCCTTTGATGGGGCTACGGACTAATATGAGATCGGCTGCGGTTTGTCCAGGCCGACGACAGGTGGAGTCAATGCCCCCGTCCCGGCCCGGGCTCCCGCCGTGGCTTCTAGGCCCGCTCCGGCCAAGTGATCATGCTCTCCGCCAGTTTTCTCTCTCCTCCGCCGGTCTAGCAGGTAGGTCCCTCTTAGCCATGGTTAAACTTGCGTCCACGGCACGTACTCGCCCCTCTCTCTCTTAAGGCCCACATCCACATTGTCACTTAGAATACCAAGCGACGGGGGGATGTCAATGGGCCACGTAAGCCCTAACCCTGGTCCAGCTAGACTCAGTTTTCCAGTCGTGAGCAACCAGGTCAACGGCGACGGTGGGAACAGAGCCTGCCCGGTTCTTTGAAAGGATCCAGCTTCGATCAAGACGAAGGCACCGAGTGTACTGCCCTGAGAATCTGTGGGCAGGATATCTTGAACAAATATTTATTTTATTTTATTTTATTTTAACTGGAATGAATCCAATGAATTGAAACAGTTTGGGAAGGAAGCAGTGAAAGACGTGCGGCCTAAGTCAACCCCGTGGCTGACCTGGCATTATGGAGACCATATTTGACTTTCATCCTCGAGCATCATTGCCAGGTCAACTCCACCCAAAGGAAGAAACCCAATGACCAGAAAGCTGTCAGACTGCCCAATGGATGAACCCAAGATCATCCTCCAGAAGGTGTCCTATGATAACTTCCAAACTGCCCCATGATGCCAAGTCAAAGCTTTACCTCGTCACCTCTACCAAGAAAAAGAAAGACGACTATTTCTGGCCATCGTTCAGGAACATTGCCAAGTCAACTCCACCTAAAAGAAGAAATTCAAAAACTGACAATACTCTTAGACGGCATAATCTATGCTATATTTTCTTTCCTAAAATATAGACGATGGGTAATGTCAGGGAAAATCCCATCTGACAATTCGAACCCGAAAATAGTCTTAAGTTGACTTTCGACCATACAAAATGAGCATACCCCACTCAAAGCCTAAAATCATCCTCTAAAAGGTGTTTCATGGTCATTTCTTCACTGTCTATGATGCTTTCAAGTATTGGAAGATTAGGGTTTACCTGAATCATCACCACTAAACTCAAATTGGCCACCAAAGTTCTCCATTCTAGTCAACGGGCCACCTCATCATGACTTCTGTACAGCGATGGGCTCCACAATCAAATTACCCAGACATGAAGTCACTATGAAATCAAGAGACGAGGTCTCTCTCTCTCTCTCTCTCTCTCTCTCTCTATCTCTGTGGGATGAGATTGGCAGATTCAGGCAAGAAAACTGAGGGATGCTGGACTGCTTCATCAGAGTAGAGTGCATCAGAGGAGCGAAAGAAGGGTTCTAGACAACTCTAGCCCTGTTCATACGAGGAAATGGTCTTCCTGCAGGGATCCTGTGGTTCAACGAAAGAGCGAATAACCAGACCATTTCCACGAGGACTAAAGAGTTTACTATGAATGAAGAGCTTTCATTTAGACTCCAGCAACACCCCAAGTTAGGTAGTCATTCATCCCGAGAGAGAGAGAGAGAGAGAGAGAGAGAGAGAGAGAGAGAGAGAGAGAGAGAGAGAGAGAGAGAGAGAGAGAGAGAGAGAGAGATTCCTTCTCAGTGAAGTCGTAGCTAAAAATGTTCCAACCTACATGAAAAAGCTTCTTGGACGACCACCACCACTACCGTTGTTGATTGCGAATTTAAGTCAGTGAGAGGAGAACAAAGAGGGAGAGCTGAAAGCTGAGAGCTTTTGTGTGTCATCCATAGAGACTATCCGCCAGCTTAACCTGCGGCATCATAGATTGATTCCCTTCGCTGCCCCCCATCTCTGATTTACTAGCGTTTCTCAACTACCCCAAACCATGACTCCAGAAAGAGGTCCAGAGGATGATCTGTTCAATGAAAAAGGACCATACTTTAGAGCAGATCATTCCCCACCTCTCTCTAATTGCCAATTTTGGGGCCACCCCACAACGAAGGCTCTGTACACCAAGCTGGTCAATTGGCACAAGGGTTTGTTGAGAGAGAAAGTGACCATCCTAGGTCAGGTGATCTCCATCTGCCCTAGGAATCCTCTTCTCCATAAGCCAGGAAGCTATGAACATGTCCACATAATCCAGCTGGTGCGTGTGTGTGTGTTCAATGCTATAAAGGCAAACAGCCAAATTCAATTCAGATGGACGAGGACAGTTAATAAATACCCGCTTTAGAATTTTCCATCAAGAAAAACCAGCATCTAACCCATGTGAAAATAAATAAATAAAATAAAATTGTCTCCACGTTGGCCGTCTCAGAAAGAGAGTGCAAAATATTTACAGTCTTCTCCATAAAACTCATTAAGAACAACATAGGGCCAATCCAGTCCTAAAACACCGCAGACCAGGCTGGATTTGGACGCACCAGGTCTGAACAGGCTCCAATCCATGTTCAAGCAATCCATACATGGTCATTACAAGTGACAATCAGTAGGGGTTGACTCATGGCCATATCAGAGTTCCAATCTTGGGAGGCCAAGCAGCCCCCGGAAATCCGGAGAAGAGCAGCATGCAAAGTTTGTAGATTTATGAGACTGAAACATTCAAGCTTATGATTGTTCGTCTACATCTAATCACCAGAGAGGTAGGTGTGCAAGGGGGTATGGCACACACGGCCATGACGGCATGGCACGTGCATGGCAGTACCCTTGGGTGGTTAATCCCACTTCCACCAATCCTGGGGATCCTGGAGATGAAATGGGGCTTATTCCAAAAAGCCCAAAGTTTTGATATTTTGGTTCCCACATCACCGGCGACATGCATTTTTCATGGCATAGAAGCCCAGGAACAGAGAGGAGCAGTGAAAATGGGACTGAAAGAATTCAGATTTCCACATTTGGATCCTAAACCACTGGAGACAGAATTTTCAACCTATATAGGGCCCAAAATTAGCAAAGAAGCTCAGGTAGGCGGAGTCTCAGACAGAGGCTCCCAGTGAATCCTCCATGGTTACTTCATACCCAGCCATGGATAAAACTAGCCCTCAGCAGAGACAGCCCAGATAGATCAAAAGACTCTGGTTTTGACTGAGATGTTCTCTCAGCTTCAGCAATTCTGGGCTGATGAATCCATACACCATACCACACGCATATGAAGACTGGAATTTCTCCAGTGAGAATGGATCCACAGGACCTGGCAGGGTCAGATCATCTGCGAGTAACTCAACAATATGTTGGCCGTGCTTCAGATTTCTAATGACCATCTATGCATGAATATGAGAGAATTAGGCTACATATCTCATCGAAAATGCCTTACAAAGATTTGGAGCAAACACAAGTGTGTGAAAAAGATGATAAATCTACGCAATTATAGATCTGCAGGAAGGTTGGATTAGCAGGAAAATGGGGGGGGGAGGGGTGAGATATGCCATTTCCAACCTCGGCGTTAGGGCAGAAGACCGTCATCTACTTGGAATTCCGAGTCAAAAACCTCAGGACAAGTTTCGTCTGAGTTTCTGGATGGCACAGTACATTTTTCTCCTCGAGCCCACGGCGTTGATCCCCATGTCCTTGAGGTCGTCGAGAGTCAGGAGAGGCAGCACTTCGTCGTCCACCTCGTGAATCTCGAACACGGGGCCATAGCGGCCCAAGCCCAAGCCGTTTAGCCAAACCCTGACGCCTCCATCTTCAGCTGGACTACTGATCTGCGCCCTGTGCCATTCCCGAGCGTCGGTCTCCAAGGTCATCTCCATGTCTGGTGCTTCAATGGCGGAGGGGAGACCCGCCTCCCGGTTCTCCAAGATCCTGCTCCTGGCTGGCCTTCTGTCGGAGAGGAGGATGCTGTGGTCTTTCGTGGGGATCTCCCAGTCCTCCCGCTGGAGGTCGTCGTAGTCTCTATACCCTTCCTCGCCGGCGTCCCCGCCGCCAGGCTTCGCCGCCGCGGGGTCCTGGCCGTCGTCCATCTCCGGCATCCAATTCGCCCGGTGGCGGCGGGACGACACGCCGCTGCCCTTCTTCGATCTCCCCTCCTTGCCGCCGCCGCCGCCGCCGCCCCTCAGAACTGCCGGCGCCGATTCCCGATTTTCCTCGCCGGAGACCGCTGGCAGGTCCGACGCGACGTGGAAGTCCTCCGAGATGAGATTTGTCAGGGGCCGCGTCCTGGAGGGAATCCTCCCCATCTCCCCTCCCCCGCCGCCGCCGCCGGCCGGAGCCGCCGGCCATGTCCTCTGGGAATGGGAGGGAGCCCTCCACTGCTTGCTGCGACGCGCAAAGGGATCCTGGGGGGTGGCCGCCGGCTGCCCACCGATTTCCCCCAGCCTGACACTGGGCCGGCGCTGCCGCTTACCCCCCGACCCCGCCGGCGGCGGAGGGGCTAGGGTTTCGGTTTCCGGCGGCACCGCCGCGCCGTTGGAGAGCGGCGCCTCCATCGGCTCCAAATCCGCCATAGGCTTCCCTTCAAACCTCCTCTTCCCCACCCAGTGCCACTCCAAATCCCTAGAACCCCTACATTCGATGTTCGAAGCTCCCCCCTCCCCACTTCCTCTCTCTCCTCTCCTCAGAAACTCTCCACCTCCTTCCTCTATTCTTCCAATTTCTGTCTCACCGGCGCATTTATCTCTCTCTCTCTCTCTCTCTCTCTCTCCACTCTCTCTCTCCTCTGTCTCTCCTCTATCTCTGGGGGGTTCTCTTGGGTTTCCACCGGGGGGACAGAGTGACCCCACTTGGTGAACGACGAAGACGTGTACGATAGTCAACGCAGCATGTCTTAGTTGACTCAGATGACGTCATGCATTGATTAGAGGCCGCAACCGGAAGTCCCCTCGCCGTTAGCCGACTCGTTGACCGAGACCAGCCTGTTGTCCGCCATCCCGGTTCAAGTAAACCGGACCGGTTGAACCGAACAAATGGGCCGGATTATGAGAACAAAGCTCGGCCCAGCTCGATTCTCTCTCTGGGCTTAGGCGAAAAAAGATGGCCCAAAGATATCCTTAGGCTTGACAAGACCGGCCCATTTATCATTCACACCACGTTCAGATATGTATGGAGGAGGGTATTTGGGCTAACTAAGATGCAATGAAGAGCTTAGACAAGCGTCCCACACTAGGCATGTGTGAATTGACGTGGCAAAGTCTAGATGCCACACGAGTGGAAAGAAGGAAAGGTAATCTAGCTTTCGTTATTGAAATTGTAGAGAGAGAGTGAGAGAGAGAGAGGTGGGTCAGTGGGTGGGTGGGTGGGAGAGGAGGGAGTCATATAGTTCTTAACTTTGTCTACTTTACTATCATGCTCTCTACCTAAGGAAATAATATAAAATAAGAATGATATTAAAAGATCACTAAATTTAGAATTTCAAAATCGTCTAGATGTCTAACACAACTGATTAAAATGATTTTTAATCGTAAAATTATGTCATATAGGTAAGCAAGTGATGTTTTATTAAAAAGTTTACTTATAGAGGAATCAAACATAATAAATATTGATTCAAAATTTGAAGTATGTACATTTTTATGAAATTTATAATATTTAACATAAATTTTGTATATTTCTAAGCATGTGTGCAGTCCATTAAAGTTTGCTGAAACTAATTGTTGAGATGACTATTTGACACATTAAGCTGAGGATAACAATAGAAATTTCACCCAAATTAAAATAATAAGAGAGAAATAAAAAAAGAACAATTGATAAATCTTTATTATCATGAGTTAATAATTAATTAATAATATAGTTAATTTTAATGTATGGTAAATAGACTTATATTTGTGTTAAATAATAAAAAGTGATTTTTAGTTGATTAATGTGAAATTTTGGCTAATTATGTGATTTCATATAATTTTATATAATTTTTATAATGATATTTTTGAGATAAATAAAGATAAATAAAATAAAATAAAAAGATAGAAAAATAGGAGAACTTGTCGACCAGTTGGGCCCATAAGCAGGTTGAAGCACAATTAGGTATAGTCACGAGTGGTAGGCTTGAGCAGTTAAGGACAAATTGATAGGAGAGATGTGTGTGACAGTCTCCTTCCACTTCACTAGTAGTTAGTTGAGCTTGGGGCAAAGAGTAGCCATACACACATGAGAGAGAGGCTTATTGATAATAAGATCTTCTATTATTATATATATGCCTCAAAACTTGTAAAATAATCAATGTGGGACTAAACTAGCTTATTAAAGATTTTTAATGATTTTAATATCTAAAATATCCTTTATTGATATAAATGAGACACATTGATGATGTCATTGTATAAAGATATTCAAGTACTTATTTCACTCTCTCTCATATAAGTGAGTGACTAACAAAGGTTCAAATATTACCAGAGTTAAAACTTATTTTTTATTTGATTAAATCATATTTTTTTAATAAATCGTCAGTGAAAAATTAAGTCGTCATTATTATTCAATCATTGACAAAAATTTTGTCAACACAATTCATAGAGTATGGTTACTAAAATTACTAAATGATTTATAATAAAGTATCACAAATCTATCGAGTAAATTATTTTTAATTAATTGATGAACAAATATCATCGAGAAGAATATAATATGTTAGGAGACTAGTCATTACCTTTTGAGAGCATACAAGATGTAATGAACAACCTCTTTTTACTATACAGACCTAATGATGAAGCTCTCTAAAGAGATTCCACAACCTACTTCATTGATTTCTAGATTTTATAAGAAAATTTAAAAGTTACTTACTTCATCTTTATCTAAAGAGAGTTTTTGGGATCATAGACATTACATGACAATCCTTTTAAATGCTCAAGATTTCGACGTATTACTAATACATTACAACTGTGATGTCGAAATTTTATTTTATTATTTTTTAATTAATTTAATTTCTACCATCATTTTTTAAACTTCAAAAGAAAATTCAAATAATATTTAGATCATTCATGTTCAAGGAGAGCCTTTGAGGTCATGGACATCATTTGATGATTCTTTTGAACACATAAAATTCTTATGATTGTTGTCTTGAGGCTGGAACTCTATCTTTCCTATTTTTAACTTAATTTTTACTTAATTTAGTGATATTTTGTGTGATTTCAAGTTTCTAAAACTTTCTTCATTCAATCATGATTCTTCTTGCTTTTAAAAATCTTAATTTTACCTATTAAATTATATGTAATCACTTACGTAATAATTTTCAAGTAGAACTCTATTTTCACCTAATTATGTTCCTCAAGGTGTTCATGTCATCATGACATCCGCACCTTATTTCCCTTTTTGTAAATTTTTAACTATATTTTATATTCATCATTTAGTCTAAAATCACAAAAATAGATATTTTTTTACATAAAAAACTGAAATATTACTTGATATTATTTTATATCCTTTTGATCTACTTGGAAATTTCCCACTATTTTTAGAACCTTTTATCAAATTATAAATAATATATTTTTTATGAATTATTTTTAAAATGTTTTAAAATGATATTTTTTAGTTTTATAAATTTTAAATTTACATAATTTAGTATACAATGACTAAGTCATGTCAACAACCAAAATTAAAGAGACAGTTTAAAATTAATCCATAAAAAAATACATCTCTATAGAAACTCCATCCAACTTGAGGCATTGATGCATTCTAGGCTAATGAGCTCATAGTAGTTTCATCTATCTCCACCTTTTTTTCATAGTAAACTCTTTTATTTTACAAGAAGATGATGATGCTCTTGAGTTGGATATTTTTCTATTTATTTATACTATAAATGGAACTGCAAATAAAATTTTGGAGTACTTATGACATTATTAAAAGAAAAGTATATCCTTAAATCTAGTTGATAAATATACCCATAGAGTTTATGGTCTCAAGGTTGCAAGATAACTTCTAAATCTAGTGAGAAGTTTAGACCTATGGAGTTTATGCTACAATAAATTGCTAGATAACCCATAAATATAATGGGTGATAAAAGATTTATGGATTATATGTTGTAAAGGGTACTAATCTCATGAAATAAATTTTAGTTTTGGACAAGAATAGGTGAATTAAATTTTGATTTTGAAAGTGGATGTCGGCTAGGGTATGGTTGAGCCTACATCCATGTTGAACTAAATAAACAAATAAATAGATCATAATAGTGGTTTGAATGGTGAAAAGAAGAAGCATCAAGATGCAAAAGATCTCATAAAGGTAACATTAAATGGGTTAATGAAATACTTGTTAATACCAGAATATGATTATTTAGAGAAAAATAAGAGGAAGAGAAAAAGAAAAGTATTATCTTGAAGTCTATTAATAATCCATCTGATTTTAGTTCTAGTGATGAAGAGGACATAAATATCTTCTATAGAAAATTCAAGAACATTTTGATGATGAGAAAAAATGATATATACAAAAGTACTCAAAAGTCCCACGTTAACTCCAACAAAGATGAAGTGTGTTTTGAATTCAAAAGATCAAGTCACTTCACAGAAAACACCTAGAGTGAAGATGAAGTGAGTTCAATCAAAGGAGCATATTCAAAAGAAAAATACAATGGCTGTCACCTAGAGTGAAAATTAAGTGAGCTGAGTAGAAGAAGAGGGAAATATGTGTCTAACAACTCAAATGAATGAGGTATATTCATATAATTAATCTTAACTTATTAAGTAATACGTTTTGTTTACTTTTGATGAATTAATGATTGCATGTGAGGACACAAAATCTAAACTCAGAAAAGTTAAGAAGGATTATAATACAATGAAATAAGAAATAGAAAACCTAAAGACATAAAATGGGAGTTTAGGAATCATATACAAGGTTTTCAAAAGCAATCATTTCATGATGGAAAATAGATTTTATGGTTTATAGTTATTTATCTTGGATGTGGTAGTTAAAATGAATTTTTTGACTGGGAAATCAACAATTATGTCTGAGGAAAGAACAATGATATAATCTGATTTTTAGAAAATCTTTCTAAACTTTAAAATTTCAAACCCAAGAAAATGATTTTTAAAAATAATTTTTTTTTATTTTCAAGAGGATATCTAATAGAACATCATCAAGTTATAACTTAGACAATGGCTTTTCAAGATGCATGATTGGAGAAGTGAAGTGGTTGCCCTTGTTCAACTCAATAGATGGAGTGAATGTCACATCTGAAAATGACTAGAAAGGTGAAATTTTAAAATATGAAAACATCAATTATTTAAATAATATCTTCGAAAGATAGTTTTTTGATTGAAGGATTAAAATATAGCTTGATTAGTTTTAGCCAACTATGTGACAATCACATTAGATTATATTTTCAGGTTGACCATTGTTTGACAATTATCTAAAAAATATCATTGTTTTTTAAAATATCATTTTTAGGTTGACCATTAGATTAAAAACATCATTGTTTTTTTAAAAAATACATTATAGTTTGAATGAATTAGTGGATGAAAAATATCATTAGTCAATGATAGAAATTCTCTAGATTTAAACTCATGGCATAGAAGACTAGAACATATGACTGCCA